CTGTACAGGGTACTGTATATGACTAAAAGAAAATTAAAACTAGAAGTGGACCTTCATTCGTCCAAATAAATGAGATGACTTAGAACCACAGTGAGCATACGCTATTTTGTACATGAACTAGATACAAGCCTGGGGCTAATACCATCTGATCAAGCTTCTAGATCCAACTACCACATTATAGAAAATACAGAGGACAGAGGAACATAACAAACATTACCAGAGGGGTGCATTCAGCAAGATCAAGACTGCAGGAAAGTCTGTAGATAAATGACGCAATTTATTCTACAAAAAATTTGCAAAGGGAAAAAAAAATAGAGGACAAGCCTACGATAAAAGACATTTAAGAGATATATAAAGGAATTACAATGTGTAGGCTTATTTGGATCCTGATTCAAACAAACTGTAAACTATTGGAAATATGAACACTGACTACATATCTGGTGATAATAAAAAATTATTGTTCATTTCTTTAGGTGTGATAATGGTGTCACTGTTTTGCTTTATTTTTAAGAAGTAAACAATCATTCCTAAATCTCACCTTAACCCTCGTTTGTCATCTCCAGCATGACCACCACAGTCCAGGCCCTCATCACACACACCACAGGCCCCCTTTCACATTACCTGTAGACTCTCTCCTCCCTCTGGCCATTCTCCAGTGTATTGACTGCCAACTACCTCTCCCAAGGAACCACTTGCATCACACTGCATCTGTGCTCAGAATCCACCGGAGATATTTCAAATCCGGGGTTCAACTGACTCCCCAAGCCAGACCCAACAGCCCAGTGAGCTGTCATTCTCAAGTTCCCCAAACATGCCCTGCTTCAGTTAAGCCCTAAGCCTGCCTCCCTCACCACCCTACCAGCAACTCTTCTCTCCAGATAGTGGTTTTCTGGGAAGATCGCAGTATGGATACCACTCCAGCACAACCCCTTCATCTTAAAGAATCAATGGAAGCTTATAATGATAATCCTTAGGCCTGAACTACTAATACAATATTACATTCTGTTGACTATATCCTGTGTTACTTAAATCAGGATGCTTATGGATATGTTTCAACATAGGGGATGAAGCCAAGAGAGCTATAATAGGTAAAAGGCCACCTCCCAGCTAAGCATTAATTCTGTTCAAGGATTCTTCTACACTTCCAAACACACCGTTAACAAAGGCCAAGGCACAGAAAGATCAAGGGCTCATGCACTGCCATTTCAAGCTTGCTGGCTTCATTTGTACAAGGATCAGAAAGGGATTAAGCATGACAGCTACCTATCTGTTAGGTTATTTTAGGTCTAAGGAAGAACAGAGGGCTGTCACGTTCTAAAACTCTTCAAACCCATCCCCAAAGTCTTGGGTCCTGAATGTGCAGGTAGTTCAAAAGATCGAGTGTCACTCACACTTCCCTCTGTACTCTTGGAAAGGAGGACAACATTCAGAAATCAGAGAACTCCGTTGTGAGGAGGAAATCTGAAAATGTTGTCTCTTTCAATCAATCATTTAACATGGAAAAGTCAAATTTTACTTTCATACAGCTTCAGAGTGATATTTAAACTAGCTTCAGTCAATATGGACTGCATCCAGACCCCATTATTTCCTTTGGAGGACAAACATCAGCATACCATTAGGTCTGTACACAAGGACCCATGCTTGGACCCATGCTTGGACCCAACTAACAAACTATGTAATTGGCAAGACTTACATGATCTTTTAGGATGCTTTATTTGAAAGCTGTTTATCACACCCAGGCTGAGAGAAGGCCATCCTTGTTTGGGAAACAGGTTCCAAATTAGGCGCTTGACCTTGATAGTCAGCTCTACCTCTGTATTCACACCTTCTATCTAGAATTCCCTTCCATCTCTTTTCTAACCAGACCCTTCCCATCTTCCTTAGGCACTGCTAAAATTTTCTACGTACAAGATTAAATCAAACTAATGTTAAGTTTAACTCATAACACTCTAGCACTTCCAAGAAATTATGCATTAAATA